GCATCACAAGGACTGTGCATACACTAGGGCGTCCGTAGTGTAGGATAAGCACTGGTAAAAGGTATCAAGAATAGAAAGTCTTGAGGAAATAGCCGGTGTATGGTTATAGCACGCCTGGGGGGTAAATTTACCACCCGCTTATGCATGCATTAGGTTAGAAATAGGGGTAAACAACTTGTAACGGTGAAGTACAAGTCCTATGCAGCAAGCAGCAGCCAGCAGCAGCAGCAGCAGCAGCCGCCTGCAGCCAGCAGCCAGCAGCAACCGCCAACCAGCAGCCAGCCAGCAGCACCACGCAGCAGCAGCGCAGCATCAAGCCGCAGCAGCAGCAGCACCACCGGCAGCAAGCAGAAGCAGCAGCAGCAAGCAGCAAGCAGCAGCAGCAGCGGCGTCGTCAGCAACAGCAGCAGCGGCACCAAGCCGCAACAAGTAGCAAAGCAGCAGCTACAAAAGCGGCAACCAGCGGCAGCAGCAAACAGCAGCAGCAAGCAGCAGAGCGGCAGCAGCAGCACCGTTTACACCAAGCCACCGTTTACACCCAACCAACCACGTTCACACGTTCAACCAACCCCCTACACGGCGCGCAGCTGGGAGTCGAACCGTGGGGGGGGGGTTAGCGTGATATATCAAGCTTTAAGGCACACAGCTCATCCCACTACCAATTGCTAAAGCAAAGAAGAACTCAGCTAGCATGCTAGCTTTCGTGATAAAAAATGGGGATGAAGCACCTGCTTCAGCTTGCAGGTTGGCAGTGTTCCTGTTGATTCTGCAGACATATCTGGAACTAGTGGCAGGAAGAGGCAAGGATTCCCAAATCCACAAGATGTGTTGAGCGCATCCAATCCAAAAAAAGACATCTCCCTAACTGGAGCCCAGCATAAACCAAATCAAACCTCCTGAAAACAGGACACCCACACCACCTCCACTCATTCTTGCACGGAAGCCCGTCTCCCGACCGCAACCATCCGAAAGCCGCCCACCTCTGAGCCGGACACCAGGGTCGCGCCATCGGGTGCCCAGCGCACGCAATCCACCGGCGAGCCTTCGAAGATGGAGTCCGGCACGGACCCCACCGAGGCCAGGAGGTTCATGGCAGCGAGGACGGCGCTCCGCATGGGTGGAGTGGAGGCGCTGCCGGAGCTCCGAAGGGTGGAGGTCCGGTCTGGAGCTGCGCGGCGGCTTGAAACACCGGAGCGGCACGAGCAAGAAGCTTGAGCAAGAAAAGGTGATGGTGACGATGACGATGACGATGATGATGACGATTTCTGCATGTGACACCCTTGTCTGCACTATCTGCAACTGCCCAAAAAGAAAAAACGAGACGCTGGATTCTTGGCCGAAGAGGCCTGAAAGGAGACAAGTGGATGTAGAAGTATGACCCAAGTCAAAGGTACTTCCTGCCTGAGACGTTAGAATGACCGCTCGCCGAAACAGAGATTAGCGGCTAGCGCAAACTGATCCCTTCACCACACTCTTAAACTTTACAGTGGTGCCTATAGCCCATTATTGCCTACAGTGACTCCGATATAATCTTATATATGGCGTCACTTATAGCATCCTTTTCTGCCTTGCAACTAACGTGCTTCGAGAGAGAAGCCTCATGTCGGGCTAGTGAAACACACTAGCCCGATCTGACTCTCAGAACACCGGTCTTCAGCGCTCCAGAACGGGTGAAACCTTTGCAGAAACGCTTCTGTCTTTCAGCATTCATCTCAGTGCCAAGGCAGTCTCGAACAGCTTGGTGGGCTTCGAAGCAAAAGCTGATACAAACGATGATGGTGTGTGACAATTTGTTGTTGCCGCGCTTGCATTTTTGCTGATCCTCTGTCCTCCATCACATTGAAGCAGTAGGCCTTGTGAGCACTTGCTCCTCGGCACCTCCGATTACATGCAGACTACAAGCCTGCCCTCTGGCCTCAGTTGTTGACTGGAGGCTTGCGAGTATCATAGGTGAAGATGGTCCTGGCCGCTTGAACATGCGACCCTTGGCCAAAATTGGGCCCATTGGGAGGGAAATGGGCATGCCTCGAAGGTTCTGATGTCTTCCACTTGGACACTCAAAGCTGTCGCATGGCCGCAGCATGGCCTCAAAGCCGTAGGCCCTTCCCGACCATCGCGCCTGCTCCCCAAGTGAAGCTCAGCCCCAGCCTAGCAGTGAATTTGGGGAATCCGTTGGGGCTAGAGTTTCCGGATCCTGGGAGCACCCAAATCTGGGACACGACCTCAATCAGGGCCGAGTGAACTTGACCTCTCTGCTTCAAAATCTGGACCAGTGGAAACCACCTACACCGGCTGTTGATGGAAGAAATCTCACCCACCTTGTTTCCCTAACACCCTCTGGAAGCATAAAGCTGTACATCAGGGGTCTAGTCACAAAAAAAACGTCATGCATGGTATGTCTATAGATTAGCATAGATTAGCCGTGACATATCTCTATTACAGTAACTTATATCATGGCTCTTTGGAGATTGATGAAGAAGTTCACTCCCTCAAGAGCAGGTCATCCAAACACCTCCCTGAGCGGATGACCTAGGCTCCCAGGCCCAGTCCGATGCACCAGCTTTGCGGAGGAGATCCGCAATCTGGCCGGTGAGATGGCGGAGCGGAATCAGCGGCCATGTATGACCTCCGTGAAAAATCAAACAATCCAAATCCAGGTGGCTTTTTAACATGGACCCTTTTGAACAGCAACATGCCCATCTTGGCAGGGGTGGGAAGGTGACTTGCCCAGCAAGTCTCTTGATGGCCAATTCTTCACCCAAAGGCACCCGGCGGCGCCTCCCTGGCACCCAAGCTCTGTGCCAGTGCCAAGGCACACACGCCATCTGGTGCCTTCACCAAGGGCTGGGAGAATGAATTCTGCAGTTGAAGTGGTGCGGATTCTGCAGTTGCTCATCTGGTAGGATCCGCATTCACAGCCTGTTCTTTTTAAGAGATTGGTGGCAAACACCAATCCGCTTTGCAAACTGGTGTCGCATTGACAGCACGACTGAAACCTACACTCCCTCGAATCATCATGGAAGTGGATGGCATCGCCATCGCCCCTTGGAAAACAATTTGTTCTACGAAACACTTGGCTTTCCACTTCTACGATTAGTTCCAGGTACCTCCTAAGCCTGAGAAGCTTTTCCGCGGAGCCTGCGAGTCCACATCGACCGGTGGCCAGGCGTGCGCAAGCATGGCTTTCACCTGCGTTGAAAGCCAATGAGGCGTTTCAACGGGGCAGGCGACTCGTGGCAAGCAGTGGCATTATTGACAAAAGTTTGCCAAACATCTCTGGCATGTGCGGACGCTCACGTTCTGAAATTCTTCTATCTGTCTGTCTGACAGCCCCGATGTTGGAATAAAAAAAGCACAGGGACACAAGACCAAGTCCACAACTGTGACTGTGATAGTCATCTTATGCCATGTCTTTTTAACTCGAAGCCACCCAATGTTTAGCTTCCCAAATTCATAGGTGTCCCCAACTTCCAGGCCAAGAAGACATACATGCTGAGGTTTGTCAGGCCAGTCATACATTTTGAAGCCACATCCAATTCTTCAACCTGCTTAGGTATATATAGAATAGAGGGATCGGTTTGGTATGGTTTGGTACCACATATCAATTGCTTCACTTTAAGATACTTTAAGATAATCTCCCCCGCAAATGAGTTATACAACAGGATCCAACATCAAAACAGATCAAAACCATGCAAAACCGCTTCCACCATGGGTCACTTCTCCTTGCTCCATCCTTCCTGCCAAAAAAAACCGACCAAACACCTCCCCTGGATACGTCGCGTATCGTCGCGTATCGTCGCGCACCAGGTCGGTGCGTTTGCTCTGCACCGCCAGGAGGAAAGGAGTGGTGGATCGGTGCGTGTCCCGATGATTCACATCGGCACCACCTGAGGTGTGGCAAGTGGCCTAGGCCGGCCTAGGCCCCTAGGCCTATGGAGCAAAGGTTTATGACTCTATGACTGAAATGTGCTTGGACATGATCTGACATTATTCAATCTACGGTGTTGGCCCTTGATCATCCAAATCTTGAAGGGTTCTGTGGCCTAGTCTTGACTCAACAAATACCACTTGTACCGGCATGAGGCTTGCGACAGCAGGGGGCAGGGAGGCGGTATCGTGTGCCCATCTATATACGCACATGAGAACTACGTTCAGGATACATGATTGTCAGTGGGAATTTGATGCTGATTGTCCAGGAAGGTCAGGGAACATACATCTCTCATACCAACTCCATACATCATACTCCTAAGGTCCTAAGAATTATTGTTTAAAACATGCCTGCTGGAGGTGCAACCCATGTTCATCAGTCACAAGAATCCTAGAAATACCCACGGCCGGTCGAGCCTCGTAGCAGCGCTTGCACACAATCCAAGCTTCCACGTGAAGGTGATGACCTCGGCAGTCATTGTGGTGTTCGATGAGCTTTGATGTCTGAAAAAACGGGTCCGGTGTCAATTGCTTGGGTGGTGAAACACAAATCTTGAAGCAAATCCAAGAAAACTGAAAAGGATTGTCAATTGCATTCAATTGCTGAATGTCCACTTCTCCGCTTTGTCGGCCAATGTTAAAGCCAATGGGTGTTGGTTAATTGTCGTGAGAGCTCAAAGAAGCGCCCAGCATGCAAGCGGCATCACATCATGGAGGTCCAAAGCTCAATTGGGTCAGTTGTCTGTCTGGTTTGATCCGATGTGAACTCAGCACTGCTGCCAGCACTGCAAGGCTTCCAATACAGCGGGAGTGAATGGTAGCTTTCTGAGGTTTCAAAGCAGCTTATAAAGTGTCCATCTTCTGTGCAACAAATCGTTTCCACCATGACTGTTCCAATGCTCAATCCAACTCCTCCAAACCGCAGTGGGTGCACTGCTGGGAGACCCCCGCAGGAGATGGTGGTGCAGCGCGGTCAATCCATCCAGATCCTGAAGCGTCTGCATCACTCCGCACGGCTCTAGAAATGTCAACGAGGTGACCAACACAGGTGGTCTAAACGTGTGCTGTATCAGGTGTCGACATAGTGTTTTTCTGAGCAGGTCCAGAAATGTCGGCTTGGCCTAACCTCAAACAGCTGAGAAACACCGTAATCTCCGCAGAGGAAACATGTTGTTCAGGCAAACCGTCAAACCTTTTCTCTCCCATTTGATGATGATCTCAGGGGGGATGACCAAGCATCTGCATGACATGCACACATCTCATGCAAAGAATCTCTTGGTTGGACCCCCACACCTCTGCACAAGGATCCGCTGCGGCAGAGAGCAGTGCAATCACGTCGTGTGCGGCGTTGTTCTTGACCTGCCCAGGCAGTACAACATATTGTCAACCTCTCCCCAGTGGCAGATCCACCTAGCCCGGACTGAAGTCCAGACTTGAGGTTTCCTTGGTCTCCATGGGGACACTTGGTGATGGTCCATGTTGTTTTTAGTAAGCTTTGTCTGTCGACATGTCACTCAAAGGGACCCTCCCGGAGGGACGGTCCGAACAGCACACCTTGAGGAACGAGGTCCACTCAGGATCAGCGTGTGACCTAAGTCGCGTGGAGGTGTGGTGGGTATGGTGGGTGTGGCCACTGCGCCGTCTGTGCTTGCCACTGCGCGTCGCGTGAGGCACGACCCTTCAGAAAGCAAGCACATCATACAATCCACTGCGGACAGGTCTATGTTATTGGAATTTAGGATGAAGCTCATATGGTCGCGTCCCTGGTTCACTAGTGCGTGAATCGAATCGAAAGCGACCGCTCTCTTCACAAACAACCAATGTCAAAGCAAACAGAGTCTCCAAAGGGCATGTGCGGGTGATATACCTGTGAAGGAAATGTCAATGTCAACCTTCCTCCCCAATCTTCTCACTACCACAAGAGGAACCCCCCTTCCAAGAAGACCTCAGAAAAAAACATATGACAACATCTTTGTAACTCACACCAAGTGACCAAATCAACTCCTCCGGCTCATCATCGCTTTCCTCCTCTGATTCCACCTCCTCCACGGTCTGATCTACTTCTGCTTCCCCCTCCAACACTTCAGGTATCTCCTCAGGAAATGCGTCCTGGACTGCCTCCTCCGCGGCGCCGGCCTCCACCGGTGCCTCTGGTGCCGCCTCTACCGGCGCCGTCTCCGGCACCTCCTCGGCAGGGACCTCGACCGCTGCCTCTACCGCTTCGGCAGGTACGGCCTTTGGAGCCACGGCCTCGCCCTGGCGGAACGGAGATGAAACATGAGGCGACGGAGATGAAGCTGGGATCTTGTTTTCGGAGTCTAAGACTGCCCGGCCTTGTATCAAACGAACTGGCAAACTGTGTTTGTTTACTTTTTTTCTGGCTGTAGTGCCAGAACCCTCCCCCTGGCAGAAACAAATGAAACAAGGACTTCACGAGTGGCAATACGTTGCACGTGCATTTTCATGCATTTTCTGAACCCAAATCCATCAAGAATGATCCCACTCTTTCGTTCCATCCATGGATGTGCTTGAATCATACATCAACTGACCTCTCGATGGGGCCAAAACTTCAAGTACACACATGTGAACAGTGGACAGATTTCAAGCTAGAGAGATCACATTTCCAAACACCTCAACACCATCTCGGGCTTCCAGGGCTGAAAGAAAATGTTCTCTCTGTAGATTTGTGGCCACTATAGAACATGGCAATGGGATCGCTCCTTATGCTTTCGGAGATGGGCAAATGAGCACAAATAAAGTGGTTTGAGTGTGCAAAATGGCGCAAGCATGCGCAAGCCACATCTCACTACCTTCCCTCAAGTGTAAGAGGACTCCCTTCTCGTTGGTTTGCTGAGTTATACCTAGCCTCCCTCCTCCTCGGGCGCGCGCCATCTGCCTTCTTTTTCTTCTTTTTCTTCACCGGTGGTGGGATATCCTCGACGAATGCACGGCCAGGGCCATGGAAACTGATGTAGAATGACCTTCGCTGGCAAGATCTTCAAGATGCAAAGCACAAAAGTCACAAAAGAAATGGATTCCTGCATGCATGAAAATTCTATAGGGCCAGCATCTACGGCAAAGCTGGGCAGCCATACAAAGGGACCTTTCCCGTGATATCTGTACGCAACGCCGCAGTGCCCAAGAGATTAGGAACTTTTTCTTGTTACTTGAGGCTTGGATAGGCTTGGCACCAGCGTAGAGGCGCAACAACCAATCGAACACGGATTTTCACCAGGCGCGTTTCCGCCCCCTAGGCGCGGTTGCACGGGCGACCTTCCAAACACGGAGTTGGAGTGAACACCAGTTCTGAGTTTGTCACCTTCCAGTCAAGGGCGACCACAAATGAGCTAGGACCACCCAAAGGGTTGTGGTTAGATGAAACATCAATCTTCAGGGGGGTCGATAAGCCAATCTCTTGAAGCCTTGGGTGGTGCTGGAAGAGGTTTTTTGCACTGTTTGAAGTCACAAAAGCCATGCGGCTGGCTGGGGGGGGTCGGCGTGCAACCCGCAACGGGAGCGGACCTCGAGCTCGCCGAGCTCGCTCGCTGCAGCTGAGGGGCCCCAGAGTCACCTCCTCGAGCACCCCATGTGCTGAGAAGCCCACGGTCTCGGGCAAGTTCTCCGCACAAATCTGGCGCAGCTCATAAACCCCACCACTGCTGTCACGGGCCCAACAAAGATATGCCAGGAAGATGGAAGAAGTGAAAGAAGTGGATCTTTCAAGATATTTCTTGATCAGATCTTTCAAGAAGTGGAACCAACAATTGATAAGCAACCACCATTTAAGCAACTGCAACAAGTCCCAGCACATCCTCGGGCAAAGAATGGCAAAGACAAGTCAGCGTATCTAAGCAAGAGCATGATTGCTCCAAGGAACAGGCAAGAACCTGGGTGCAAGCTTGACAACCAGGCTAGCTCACAAGAACCTGAGGGTCTGGATTGATTTCCCCCGTTTTTGGGGGGCAATGCCCTCAAAGGCCGTGTGCTCATCACCCCTCCTTTGGACGGCAGGATGGCCTTGGCATCCTCAATGCTCATCTTTCCCGCCGTCCTCAGCCAGCCAGCGGCCCGGATCCCAAATTCCACCAATCGATTGAACGGCGAGTTGCTGACCAAGTGCCTTCATGGAGAGCCCGCAATGGTCAGGGGCATTTCACCGGGGAGAAATGGGAGTGAAGTTTTCGCCTCATGCCATAGAATCAAGCAGCTGGACCCGGCCCAAACACAAGCCCCACAGCAGTCACAGCGTATCAGTAATTATGCCGCTTGAAAAGGACAGGAATCGTATCCTAACTTACATCACATGGAAACAAAATAAACGCTTGTGAAAGATACAATCACCACAGTAATGTTGCCATTTTGTATACACTTCCCGGCACTGACTTATTTTTGCATTCCAAACGTACATCATTATAGTTGTGATTCTTTCATCTTCTCACTTCGTTTGGTTTTCACTCCGACGATCTCCGACCTCGACCTGGGTCACTGGGCCTGGGCCTTGTCCCCCCGGCATCCAGCTTCCCGTCCGTGCGCCCCCACTCTTCAGGTCCGGCCAGGCGATGCGACCGTTGCAGGTGCCAGGACAAGGCCTCGGTGGACCGACCGCGAGGTCGGTGCAGGTGAACGACCGAGCCGGTGGAGGTTGGAAGAGCAAATAACGAGGCAACTGGAGCATCCAGGGGTACACTTAAAGGAGTGGATGATGTGAGCAGGTGAGCGGATGATGTGTCGTTCCTGGCCATGTTGGTGCATTTTGCTGAGTTGTGCTGAGCATGCACTTGCACAAGAATGAAAGCATCATGGGGGGGGGAAGAAAGCAAATGACCCAACAACCTTCCCTCAAACCATACAAATCAATTATGCAAGCAAAACACCAGCACATCCCTTTCACCTGATCTATTTTCCAATCAGAAGCCCCTTTTCAAGGATGTTTTTCACATCTTCTCACCTTCATCTGTTCAAACAACCCCCCTTTTTGGGATCCAAGAAGCAGCCAAACCGAGCGTCCTCCTCCCGGTCGACTCGCCCCCCGCTCTCTCTCTCTCTCTCTTCCGGGGTTCCCGGACGCAGGTCTCTGCCGGCGTCGACACGTCGCGTCGGACCAGCTTGACCAAGGCGTCGTGGCCGCGCTTGTCTTGCAAACGTGGATTGGCGCCTGGGTCGCGGGCGAGGGTTTGAGGCGGATTCAGGGGACGCGACGAGACTTCCCTGCAGATGTTTCTGCAACATGCTGTCACCCCTCACAGCCTTATTGACTTCAAAAATCCAGTTTAATCCAAGGGTCTGTCTGCAGGCTCCCCCTAAATATAAATTAAGGAACTCCTTCAAACTCCTCAATATCCCTCCCAACCCCACTTTCAGCATGGCTTCCGGACGTCGTGCCAGTAGGAGCTTCACCTCACGTCGTGAAGCACCAGGCGACACGTGCGTCCGTTGTCTCCACGTGCGTTTTCCGCGTGGCTCGACGGCCAGGTGAAACGATGCACGCCGAGGAGCTACTCGGAAGGTCCGAGAATGACAGGCCCAATGGAGAGAAGAGGTCCCATCAGTGCCTGAGCGAAGTCGAGCAGCGATGATGATGCTGCAGTTTCGTCCATCGAAAGATTGCATACAGATTGGCACCGTGTCGCAACGGTTCTTAAATATCAAGTTGCATGGAATTGTGGAGTGGCAATGATGATGTAGCAAAAACGGATCATTTGTGATCATTTCATCTCAGCCCTCCAACGGTCCAAATGCCATACATACCTTCACAACATGAAGCCTTAGCACATCTTGGGGCCCTGGCTGCACCGCGCATCGATGTCTGCGCCCTGGTCCAGCAGCAGCTCGCACATGGCCAGATCACCGGCCTCGGACGGATTTCACCGCTGCGGGGCCCTGCCACGGCTGGGCGACGGCCGCTACCAGGCTACTGTCTACTTCCATCATCTTCCATGTACTTGGAGTTCCGATGTGCACTGCTATCAATCAATCTTTATACCTATCTATATCTACTATATCTATACATCTATATATTGTCTATATCTATATCTCTATCATTCTCTATCTACCTGTCGATCTATCTATCTAGATTTGAAGGCTTACGCCTGACAGCCGGGCGCCGGCCCAACACAGGGCAAAAGTAGGACTGTAGAGGATAGAGGCAAAAGACATGAGGCGACGGGGGCCGGGACGTCGTTTCTTTCTTTCTTTCTTTCTGTCTGTCTGTCTGTCTGTCTGTCTGCCTGCCTGCCTGCCTGCCGGTCTGTCTGTCTGTCTGTCTGTCTGTCTGTCTCTCTGTCTCTGTCTCTGTCTCTGCCTGTGCCTGTGCCTGTCTCTGTCTCTCTGTCTCTCTCTCTCTCTCTTTGAGACTGTGTGGGGCCTATGCTCCCACATCTTGAGGCTATCTTGGCCCATCTCGGGGCAACGCTTCCCATATCTGGGACCTATGTAGGGTCATCTTGCGGCTATATGCCATATCTGAGACCTATGCTGGGTCATCTGGAGGGCTTCTGTCAGGCCATCTAGGCGCACATTTTCCGCCGTTGCTGTGGGAGCGTGCCCAACACCCACGAAATGTCGATTATGCCTGTCCGCGCGGCGCGCATTACCAACACCACCCTTGAAAAACATAGTGTTTTAGCATTTCTCCATCTTCGCCGTGTCGCCTTTCAGTATGCGCAAAAAAGCCTATAAAACGCAGTGTTTTGTGTAACTCACACACACGAAACACTGTAAAACACACGACTTGAGGTGGAACGGAGGTGGGTCGGCGCTCGGGGCGTCGCTCCATAACCTTCGGTTACACCGAAGGCCCTCCGGGCGACACACGAACTGGCCCAGGGGCCGGCGCCCGGACTTGGGGTGGCTGGAGTAGCCATGCTGGCCAAGCCAAATCGGATGCCGGTAATGGGCGCCTCTACTAATACTAATTACAACTCACTCCTTCGAAAGGTGCCTGACTTGGGTCTCTCATTTTTTTCAAAACATGAATCTTCTGAAGCCTGTCTTCTACGGTTCTTGCGAACATCAACGCGCCTTGGCAGCCTGAACCAAGGGAGGGATGCCCTTCTCAGGGTCGATCTCCAAAGGATTGGCCTCCAAACCAGCTCTGGGGCTTGGAGGGTGAACATGCGTTTTTGCCGGACTTCCACTTTTTGATGATTCCTACATTCGATGCATCTATATCCATGTGTGTGTGATCGAATCTATTGGCACAAAAAACGGCAGCAGGTATAGACAAGCTTGCAGGTCAACTACTAAGTATGGTCCTCCGCTTGATGCACTTGAGGCACGAATCTACAATCAACCTCTCTCCGGTTCACCTCCCTCATGCAATCACACTTCCGCGACATGTCGAACGCGAACGCGAACGCAACAGCTTCATCTTGCAACCACCTGGTCCTCCAAACCATCAAACAATACGTCTTATTGATACCATGGCCGATGCTGCTCCAGTCCGCGGGGTCCACCTGTTCGGTGTCCAAGAGCCAGGTCACCAAATCCACCTCGACCAGTGATGACCGATCCCACCGATCCCGGCGACCCTGGTGACGTGGGATGGCACCAGTGATGGCACCAGTGACTCCTGGTCGTGTTGCTTTTATATTTCCCTTGAAAAGAATCAGGAATCCCATGGGCTTGTTTCCCAACTACCTCTCTTGTATTGGCCAAGAGCAATCTCCGCTCTTGCAAGATCCTAAACACTCACTACAGCACAGTGCAATCAATAATTACAATTAGGAGTGTTTCTGACGAGGCCACAGGCCAACGGTGCCTTTTCGAGTCAAGCTCATCAATCCGTTTTGAGAACCACTCGCCATCGCGCACGCCCAGGCCGCGCACGTCGCCATCGCGCACGGCGGTGTGGAAGTCTGGGCAGCTCTTCTCGATGCTTCGCAACTTAGAACGAAACACCTCGGTGGTTCGGCCACGCGCGTGGGGTTTTCGAAGCGAGAGGTGCGTGGTTTTCGGCCGCGTTGATCGACCAGGTCACCGGAGATCCAAACCTAGTCCGGCGTGCGGAGGCAGTGTGGGCTAATCCACCAGGTGCCGGCCCAAAAAAACCAGGGCCCCGCACGCCGTGATTTTTGGTATGCGCGCGCGGTTTGGTGCGTGGTTTAGTGCGCTGTATACGTGATGATTCACACAAAGCCTGGAGCTGCTCAAAACAGCCCAAGGCTGATGCTACAAGTGTTTGCCACACTGAGGGACAGTGACTTTCCTGATGTTCCGCATTTCTGTTTCAAGCGGTCAAGCTGAGTCAATGCAATTTCCCAGAACAAGCCCGAGAGAGGGACTGATCTCAAACCAGGGCCCTCCGAAATGGCGCATGAGTAACAAAAACGGCTCTGTTCCTCGTCGGAAACGGGGGCTATACCGCCCTGCGTGGCCCGGCACCTCTTCTTCTGCCTTCCAATAGCGCTTCATGACCTCCCCGGGATCCTGGCGAGGCCCCGCTGAGGCGGCCGATCGACTCGATTCGACGGAGTCGAGGAACGTCGGCATGAATCATTAAGCTGGATGACAATAAGAAAGCTGGTGATCAGTCTACCAGTGACAATACAGTAATCATCATTAATCCAACATGATATAAAGCATCTCTATTAAAGATGCTTTGTATCATGGATGGTTGATGAACAAAAACTTCCAGAATGGTTTGACATCTCCATTCGGAGGGATTGTTTGGTGGATATTTGCATACTAAATCATACTAATAGTTTGTAATACTAATAAGTCTACATCAGTCTGCCAGGTCTACATCACACTATACAGTATATATAACCCCCCCCCGGGATTCAACTATATTAGACATAAATGAAGAACTGCTTGAAGAGGCCGCCACCACGGGTGCTGTCCGCCCGAAGACTGCGAGGCGGCCGCTGTCCGCCTCGAGCTCCGCCACGTGGAGCGCGGCGTCGGCGATGTCCAAGGCTTGCCGCACGATGAGTCCTTCGATCTCCGAGCGCCCAGAATGCATTGTGGGCGCTGGAGGTGGGGGCGCTTTGTTTTTGGACAAAAAGGCCGGTCATGGCTAGATGAGATGAGAGATCAGCTGAATTGAAGAGGTCCCAAAAGCATCTGCAAGTTCAGAGTACACTGAGTGCACCCAAATGTTTGGAATGTTCCTTGATCGTTCGATTTGTGTGAGAGACCTCCGGTTGCTTCCTAGAAGCGGGATGGGTGTGAAAGAGAATCCGTCTCGTGTACGGCTCTCCCGAGCTCTCCGGTCTCTCTCCTCGGTCCACTGAGCTGGCCAATGCCGCCTTCCGACCGACCGCCGGCTCGCCGAGATGGAGGCCCTTCTCCGGACAGTAGGGGGGAACGTCCGGGATGAAGACATCGGGCCCAAAAGCATGATTCTTCCGAACGAAATTGCCAGGACAATACCTTTCACTCAAAGGCTGCTGGGTAGGGCAGTTCACCCCACTGCAGAAACACTTGCCAAAGCAAGATCACTGCACAACCTGCGGGAATGCCAGAAATGGCCCGGTTCTAAAAGGAACACGGCCATATCGTTTCAAAAGCTTGATCTTGCTGTTCTTGCTTGGGGTTCATCTGCTTCAAAGGCCGTCATGACATCCCGTGACCTTGCAGCTGCTTAGAGCATTCCCAGGAATTTCCGGTCACAAGAACTCCAAAATGACTGTTTTACTCAGGTGTCCCCTTGGAGAATTGAATGCTGACCACAGGAACTGAGAAAAAAACACATGTTGCCTGAAAAGGACTGATATACTAACTGAGCTACTAACTGATGCACTATATTGATATACTAACTGAACTGATAGAACTGATATACTAACTGAGCTACTAACTGATATTATTGTGACTGATGATCATGTCAAAATGTGCCTCCCAGCGGCCGACGACGACTCGAACGAAGAGAGACATCCTTTTTTCTTGCCAGGCTGTCTGCGGTGGGCATCGACATGGGGGAGGTGTCTGAATGATTTAAAATTCCGCTCGCTGGCCCAACTAACAGGTCTAGGTGCTCCTACTAGTGTGAAAACCCATCGAATCACCGTGATGTTCGTCCTCAAGCTGGAAATCTTCCTATATAATATTAATTTCACGCCGCTGTAGCCGCTTTGGCTTAGCAAGCAGCTCAGACCCATCCCCAGCCATCAGCTCCGACGGGTTAAGATCGGGAGACAGCTCAGGTGCTTCACTACAGGCCATTTGATCAACACGGTACGCGGGTTTGAGCACGTTTACCAGTTTACCTGGGTACCAAAGTCCGCACAACAACACCGGGGGATGTCCACTGGCCGATGCCTTTGGGCAAAGTGATCTCAAATCATCAAAGCTGTCTCCAAGCGGCATTCAATAATATCTTGATGACTAAAATCTGCTGTAGGTGCTCGTGCCATGGGAAGCCATGCAAGCAACAGCAATAGCATGCAAATCTGGGCACTGGCTCGCCATATGTCTCCGTGTCTCCCCGCAGCGGATCGTGGCAAGGGACTTAGGGCCCACATCAGTTCAATGCCCTGCATGGCCATCCCACTTCCACCTCTTTCAGGATTTGGTCCTGTCTCTCATGGAGAGGAGATTGGCAATTTCTCCCGCTTGGAGACGCCGAAGGTGGCTAAGACAGCCAGGGCAAACCTGGAGCTTGGCAACCCATTGGGATTCGGGCCATAGAAAGCAAAGGGTGCGTGGTGGATTGGTATGCTAGAGGGGGCGATGCTTTGCGAGGCGTGTGAGGCGAATGAAAGCAGGAAAAAAAACACGTTGCACCTCCCCAGGTGGTAGGATATGCAAAAATGTAGCAATCCTGAATATCAGCTTAGCTTGGGGAGAACGAAAACAACAGAAGGACCATGCAAAACCTCACCGCTGCAAACTATGCACGCACAAAAACGGTGCACATCTTCTGAGGATTTCTCAAACAAGTAGAAGATAGGATAGCACAGGGCAGGGCAGGACAGGAAGATAGATATATATATATATGTATAGAGAGAGAGAGGGAGATAGAAAAACAAATAGGATAGGATATGATAGGATAATAAGATAAAATGGGGAAGATAAGATAAAATAGATAAAATAAATACAATATGATGCAACATGATTCAATGAATAGATAAGAACAAAAAAAGAAAGAAGGACATGAATAAAGGAAAAAAACATTGAGAAGGAACGACATAAACAAGAAACAAATACAGAATATAGTGGCAAACTGTTGAGGGCCTCTTCGCAGCAAACAACCGTGCAAAGCCCAAGTGACAAACCTGCACAAATCGCAAATCGTGTCTGGCTGCTCATGCGCGTCAGCAGCAATAGAAGCACCAAGAGGTTCCTCGGAAACGAGCCCAGCAAAGCTCTACACCAACGGCACCCAACTAGGATTTCTCGTCCAGGAGCTGGCCTTACTACTAGGAGCAAGGACGCTACTAGGGGCTCCTGGCATCGCCACTAGGAATAGGAAGCTACTAGGGGCTCCTGGCCTTACTACTAGGAGCAAGGACGCTACTAGGGGCTCCGGGCATCGCTACTAGGAATAAGAAGCTACTAGGGGCTCCTGGCCTTACTACTAGGAGCAAGGACGCTACTTAGGGGCTCCTGGAATCGCTACTAGAAGCTACTAGGGGCTCCTAGCCTTACTACTAGGAGAAAGGACGCTACTAGGGAAGAATCTGAAGGGGATTCACCCCATGAGAAACATTGCCCGATGCGCAAAACCAGAAGGTGAGCCCAAAAAGTTCCCACCCACCCGTGATTTCGACAAACACCCTTGAACACCCAAGAACAACAGGACCGGATGGAGCAGCAACCTGCACCCGATCTGAGTCGCATCGAGCGGTCAGGTGCCTTGAACACCACGTCACCACGTGTCATCCAAACAAATTGAATGAACTTCCCCGGAGTTTTTGTCTTCCTCATCTTCCTCCTTTGGATGTGAATATGCCAGCATCTTCATTCATCTAGAGATGTTTTGGATCTCCAACTGCGTGAGCCAAAAAGGGTGTTTCCATTGTTCTGGTCGTCGGTCCACCCGGGTCCACCGGTCGCCGGCCACGTCAGCCACGCTTCAGCGGGACGCGGAAGAGGTTGTACATGGATCCCCGGATCGCTTCCGGAACGGCTTCGCTCTTCATCAGGCCAATGCCTCGGGAAGAACAAAGGGTTGGAAAAGAAAAGAAGCCGCACTGTTTTCGGTAGGTTCAGAGCACCGGCTCAAATGCACAGCCTTCCTACCAAAATATGGATATATAACTGGATATGATATGATATTATATTTTTTTTTGCATGGTTGCCTTGCAGCGATCTCATCTGGGGCGAAGAATGCACTACTACTTGCCAGGTTGCAAGGGAAGTACCATCCGACGCAGAATTCAAAGGTCATAAACGCGATGAAACAGCAGCCCGTTGCGCCGCACCTCAGGAGTTCTTTTTGTGGCCAACTGCCGATGATGATCTGCCAACTGCCGATGTTAACAACCGTGCTTTGTTCGGATTTTTTGGGGGGATGTTTGAGGAAACGGGGGACTCAAGGAGAGCATATAAAGGGATACAGTGTGAATCTATCAGGATTTATCTTCAGCCCCTTTATGTCACAAGTTTGCTACACAAACTTCGACATACCAGCCAAAGGAAAAATATGGAAAAATTGATCTCCAACAAATCCAAGACTCGCGCTTCGAGAAGCTACCGCAAATGCCACCACACAAAGCAGCAGGATAATCCGCAGCTGCCTGGCTGCATCTGCATCTTAGACCGCAAAGAGTCCCAGTACACTGTTTAATGATGTTTAATGCATAATTGGCCCCTGGAAAACAATGGAAAACCACAAACAAGTGGATAATAGGCCCCTGGAAAACCATGTTCCACAAAAGAGGCGGTTTTCCCCTTCGATTCATGATCTCGGGGAGTGTACTGCGATTCCCGACCTTCGATTCAGCCTGGGGCTGGTCATTTTCGTTGAGGCCCCGTGCATCGATTGCAGTACTTCAGTTGCTCAAACCAACCGTTCTTCTACTAAGCACACTGGAAGAAGAGATGCAGTGGCTGTGACATAGATATACCATGATATACCTGCCCAAGAACCTCTGTAAACATGGTGTTCCTCTACCCTCATTGTCCTCTCTTCTTGACCCTTGGAGACGCGATGCCTTCACGGATGCTGACGGATATCCTCGCTCGCGCGCCAAACGGCTCTGGCCTCTTCGGCCGAGCGGTGTGGCCATGCCGTGCTCGGAGCAGGGTGGCCACCGAGGCACCCGAGCTGGCAGAAAGCATGAAGAGCGCGAAGATCAGGCCATGAGGCACCGATGATTCGGCTTGATCCCCGTCCTAAGGAAGAAGATAGGCGGCGAGAAGATGCGGCAAGGTGGACATAAGGATTGCATTTTGGGGGATTCAGCGGAGGATTGCTGAAGAAATTGCGTAGTCATCTCCAGACTGAGTGAAAACATCAATGTTCTTGGATCCTCAGCTGCTCGTTGTGACTTCTTCGTGGAATTTGACAAGGGGTTGCAGGCCAGAGGCGTTCTACAGTTCTAGCAGTTTGTTTCTGAAATGTGAGGTGCGTCGATTGGCGTGATATGCCCTTCCTCATGGTGTTGGTGGGCTTGGAGACGCTGTTGCTGAAACATTTCAGTCTCCATTGGTGATGATCTTTTTCAGCACAAATCTTCACATCGTGTGAACGAACGTGAAACAAGTATCCCTGAAAAGAACAGAGCCTGGCGGCATCTTTAGCTCGCTGCGAAGTGCCGCCAAAGGCACTAAGGCAGGTGTCCAGTTCGAGACAAACACGTACATGGATCCCTCGAAAATGGCCACGACGAAGCACAGACGTCTGCACTTGGGATCCTTGATCAGCCAGCGAAGTGCATCCGGCTGCACTGGCTCAGCAGTACCGGAACAAGCCTGTCCTGTTCTCAGAAGCGAGGCTCACGGGAAATACCCCACCAACTTGAATGACTCATGCCAGAGTGCTTAGCAAAACTTTGGCCAGGTGACTACTCCTGCAGTAGCAGTGTCGGCTAACGGCTATACTGCTATACTGCTTGATTGAGAATCCCCAATGCTCCCCACCCATACTTCCTTGATTCCACAAACAAACGGTTCTAAAAGGTTGTCTCATTTAGCGTAAGCATCCATAGTTCTCTGTCCACAGTAGCGCAATGAGAATGAAGCCCAAGCACAGCAGCCCTGCAGAGAGGTCGTATGGCAGTGTGTAGCCGCCCACATAGAAGCTCGCACCACCCAAGCTGGGTCTCAAAGGGGTCTGGTCGACCAGCAGTTGTGCCGCCATGCCAGCAAGGACCGCCACGAAGTACATGGAGAAAAATTTGAGGCCAAAGGTGTAGGAGAGCCTCAAACGAAAAATTTGCGGCTCCCTGGGGTAACCAATGGGGTAGCCAATGGGTCTATTCTATCTGGTGGCTGCTGTTGACCTTTGCGGCAATCCATGGTCGATTTTGAGTTGCTTGCTTGCTGTATTACAGCTAACATGTATATAATATTAGTTTGTAATTATGCCGAGTTTCTACATGCAGTGTAACAGTGTGGCATGTAAAAGGCTGCATGGCAAAGCCACCAAAGGAACAAACAAATAGTTAAACCACATCCAAGTCTCAGGTTGGAAGAGAAGCCTCGGTTATATCACCCTGATGGAGCGTCCAAAGCACAAAACCAAGAGCAGCTTCTGGACAGTCTATAATTACCATCTAGTCTATACTCATCTTTACTGCCGACCTCATGGGAGATCTTCTAAGCATCTTTCCATTCCTCCAGTGACGGCCTCTTTGCTTCTCGGTGCTACAAAGACAAAGACCAGTCCTGCAGTCAAAGGAGCGGTGCCGAAAGGTATGCTCAGAGACCATCCAGCACTCGAAGCACGAGAAGAGGAGGGCGGTCCCAATGCCCCCGCAAATGCGTCCCAGCATCAAAACTGGATAAAGGTTCCAGTGCATCAGAAGCCCTGCAAGACCGTGGAAAATGCAGTAGGCCATGCAGCATTTCTTGCGCCCGAAGCAGTCCTATAAGGAAAGCAACCGATGCAGTTCATCGGCAAGAGTGCAAGTCCATACTGTAAAGGTGCTTCAAAGGTGGTCCGTTACGATCAGATGGTCTTGTTACTTGTTCAATGGAGGAAGTCCAGGAGGACTGAGTCGGGTGAGCTTTCAGAAGCCCTTGACGTGGGTGGACACAAGTCACGGTCAGTTGATGAATCAAACAGTCAATTTCGCAACTCACATCGTTTTCAACTGTTTTCAGTCAGTGCGTGGGCTGCGTCAATACTACCAGAACACATCAACTGAAGCAAGCAAGCATCTGCCAAGGACCCAATGCCACAGCTACAAATGCCTGATGCACCATAACCACCTGCAGGGTTTTGAACCACAAAGCCACAAAGCTTCCCGAACTTCCCATGAACTTCTTCGTTCCGAGTGCCATCCGACACATGTGTCCAACATCCCTCTGAGATGCTATGATGCATCAAGCCGAATTGGTACAGAAATACTCCCCTTTCCAGGCCCTTCCAGTGGCGGCTGCCAAGCCAAAATTTTGCGCGCACCGATCGCGCGGAACCCCAAAAAATGCCACAAAATCACCCCCTCTGCACCGACAAAGAGGGCCATGATGGCAGACTCGGAATAGCCATAGGCGGCATAGAGGGCATACAAATAGGGCCCTTGGAGCCAGTCGGCCGCCACGCAACACATCCAAACGGCCAAATAGCTCCTTAGGAGTGGGCGAGAGTTTTTTTTGGGGGCGTGGGCACACAGCAAAGCTTGAGGCGAGGACACACAGGGTGCAAAACCATAAAATTGATGTTTGCTATAGTATATAGTTGAAAGAAGGCCATGTGTGAACACCATATGAGTGTGTATCCCAAAGAGGGGTTCTGAGCTCCACCATGCCATCAAAAGTAGGTATAGGCGGTATACCTTACGTGAGGGTTGTGCATGATGGAACGGCCCCAAGCAGGGGTCCAAATCAGAAAGTTTAAGCCAAACGCCCAGACCGCCTGGACCCAAAAACAAGTAGTAAACAAGAAATGGTGCCGGATTCTTATGTGTAAAGACCTGTTAGAATATACAATCTCCAGTATGTTCCAGGCAGTCGAGCTTCACTAAGTGTTTGTGAAAGCCGGCTGGAAGCTCCTCCATCACTGCAGGTCTGGCCAAATATGCGAGCATCAAGCTCAGGCATAAGGCTGGTAGAAGCAACCTCGCTGCAGCAGGAAACGACCTTTATGGTGATACCCCACGCACAACTTGACAACACCACGACTTGGCTCCCCTCGCGGGTCAGGCAAAAGGTTGCACCCAGTGAAGGCTGTGAGCAGAACAGTAGCTTGAAGCAGTATAGCCATCAAACTGTTCCCCAGCATTGCATTTGCCCGATAAAACCCATTCTAGACCCATTTGGAACGACACTTCGTTGACATCGTGACATGCGATAGAAATGGGTCGCCATCCGTGGTACGGGAAAGGGGCCTTGCTTGGATGTTTTTGTGAGCAAAATCACACCTAAAAATTGGTAGGTGACAACTGTACTTGGTCAAGCCGTTTGCAAAGGCAGGGCCTAACACGTGCAAACTGGAATCATCTGACAACCAAATTCGGTGCATCCTATATAGGCCGAGCTATTTATACATATTTATACAATATCAATCGTACATACCGCCTCCAGCCCACCAGTTCTTTTTCAACAAACAACCCCACCCCCCAAAAAAAACAACAAAAACTCAACTGGAGCCCAGGTGCGTGTGGTAAACGGATTGCTTGAGCCACTCCACACTTGAAGCAATCTCCAAGGTTCCAGGCAACCCACAAGCGCCGCCCAATGGAGCGAAGTTCGAGGAGAGAATGGAATCCATTGAGACATCACGAGGCACTGGCCAGTGAAATCATGTTCAAATGCTTTTGGATGGATTTTGCTCAATGTCGTGTCAGTAGGTGCGCGGAAATATGTCTACAGGGGCTACCAGATGCTACCAGCATGGCTACGCTGGCCAGCCTGATGGGGTCCTGGAGTCGAACTTTCGTGGATCGTCGTAGCTCCCAGCAAGGTATTTGGTTTGGTTTTGGTCTTCAGGTGTTCAGAAATACATTGGCCATCATGGTCTCCACGTATGTTCATAAATCCTGCACGGCAGCATGTCCGTCTATGCACTCTTCCGTGTTTCCAAGAAGCGTTACAGTAATTGGTTTGTAGCAGTGACGTTTGAGATCCAGTTGTTTCATAGCCACATTTTCCGGAGTTTACACGTGGCCTGCTAAAGTTCCTTTCCGGTGTCTGCACTGCATTCTGAGCCAAATAGCTACCCTGCAGCACCTTGCAGCGACACCTCCGAAAGGGACAAGTAAACTTATAAAAAACAAATTTTTCCAGGTACGCTATATATAACATTGGCAAAACTTAGCAAAAATCTACAAATTATTTGTATACATTGTACATGCACTCATTCTAGTTTTCTCTCAGCTAACCTTTCACCCAGGCACCCACAGTCTCCATCCTCCGCCCGAAAAAACCACGCAATAACACCTCTATTCACACCGTCCACACCGAGTACCATACGCACGCACTTCTTTCACGCATCCAAACAACCACCCCGTTCACCTCTACCTCTCCCTCTCTCTCCCACAGTTGTTGGGCGCCTCGATCCCGCGGATCACCGTCATGAACAGCAAGGCTTCAGCCCTGCGCCGCAAGGAGGTGTCGGCGCCTCCGCAGCGAGGAGGGGTGGACGGTGAAGGCGCGTGACGGGGGCGCCGACAGCGAGGGTCCGCGATGGTTGGATATGGTTGGAAAATGGTGGAAGGTGGGCTCTTCGTGGAAGATGTGTTCCAACGGTGGTGTGGGCAGAATCAAAGGGTCTCAATGACATCATCAAAGAAACAGGATGGCAGGGCAAGTAGCGAAGTGGAAATTGAAAGGTGGCGCATTTGGGTTCAAGTTGGGATTTAGCAGCGGTGCTCTGTATAGTATAAGAATGCTCTGTTCTGAAACACCTCGTGCCCGTCCACTGTGAAATTGTTTTGTTTAATGAGTTTATGTGAAAACCACGTGTCTGGACACAAGAAGACCCCCACTGGAATGGAAGCCGCTGTCCAATGGTGAGCTCAGGAATGTGACCCACATTAAGCCAGGATGGGGCTGCGCCCATGTCGTTGGTCACACGTCTTAATCACATCGTACGTGGAAAGGGCCGTGTCATCTGAGACATCCCTGGCCGGACAAAATTAAGGGGAAGTGAAGCATGGATTCCTGATTCCTCAATCCTGACTGTCGAGAACGATGCCGGCAAGAGACTCCAAACAGTGTGTGTAAGGTCTATAAGCAGAAAGTCTAGAGATCTAGATGCATTGGGGTCCAGAGAGGTGATGGGTGGTGATGAAGGTGGGGATCGTGGCGGTGGTGGTGAGAGAGTAAGTGTGAGTGTGAGTGAGAGTGAGAGTGGGAGTGGGTGCGTGAGAGTGAGAGTGAGAGTGAGAGTGAGAGAGAGAGAGAGAGAGTGAGAGTGAGAGTGAGAGTGAGAGTGAGTGTGAGTATGAGTGAGAGTGAGTGTGAGTGAGAGTGAGTGTGGGTGAGGGTGAGGGTAAGTGAGTGTGAGTGCGAGTGTGAGTGAGAGTGAGAGTGAGAGTGTGAGTGAGAGATAGTGAGAGGTGGGTGAGTGAGTGTGAGTGCGAGTGCGAGTGTGAGTGAGAGTGAGTGAGAGTGAGAGTGAAGGTGGGTGAGTGAGTGTGAGTGAGAGTGAGTGTGTGTGAGTGTGAGTGTGGGTGAGTGAGTGTGTGAGTGAGAGTGAGAGTGAGTGTGAGTGTGAGTGAGAGTCAGTGAGTGTGGATGAGAGTGAGTGTGAGTGAGGGTGAGTGCGAGTGTGAGTGAGAGTGCGTGTGAGTGCGAATGTGAATCTGAATGTGAGCGAGTGAGTGTCTGAGTGTGAGTGAAGAGCAAGTGTGGGGTGTGAGCGTGTGTGAGTGAGTGAGAGTGAGAGTCGAGTGAGCATCTGAGAGCACAAAGTGCTGCGCCTGCCGCGAAATCTGCACTTCGAGGTTCACCAAGCGCTGTGCCTGCCACGAAATCTGCACTTCGAGGTTCACCAAGTGCTGTGCCTGC